ACTTTGTTTTTTTCTGGAGCATATAGGAACAAAAGGTGCACAGCCCATACCCTCCCAGGAGCTCAGAGCATAAAGCTTACAGTGCAATACTTCCAGTACTGACAGGGCAAGAAACAGAGCATGGAAAAGCAAATCACGTACCTTTCAGAGGTATTTTTAATTGTTTTAAATGATGTACCATATACATCCATCATGTCACAAGTGCCCTGTCTCCAGCAGTACAGTAGACCTGCTATATCACTAAGGCACTCAAGAGAGAAGTCATTCTTCATTAATGCACCAAGAAATTTCTGCTGTAAAGGATCAGTACAATTTCTGCAGCAGCTCAACCACACAATGTACCCTGTTTACTTTACACACGAGCAGGCTGGATGCCACTGCCCAGGAATTTGGCAAGTTTGTCATCACCAACTCACTTCCAAAGGCACCACCTTCTTTTCCTGCCCCTAGCTGGGAAGAGAGACATTTTTGCTCCCCCATTTAGAATGCCTTCACATTTCAGCACCAAAGGAACCAACGTTATCAGTTAATCCCAACGAAACAACTGCCTCCAGAAGGACTGCATACCCTCTCCTTTTGAAGCCTGTGTTTTATGTGCTAACCCCCACACTGTGCAGTTTGTACCACCAGGGCTGAAGGCTCAGAGTATTGTGCGTTACCCAAGTCCTACTTCCCTTTAATTTTTCATCAAGAAATCAAAATGCTTTGAAACAGAGGAAATAAATTAAACAAATGTAACTTTGTTTATAAAAATATTTTCTTATAAATCTTTAAAGCTTATAAAAGCCAGAAAATACATTTAAAAGAATCTCTGAAACATTAATTCATCCTCTGAGGTGTGGTTACAGTCCAGAAAGTGAGAAGAAACAAAGCCCAAAGACATGTTACATTTCTCTTCCCACGATGAACTCTGTAGTATAATGTGCTTAACCTCAAGTCAAAACACCTTTCGCATCCTTCCCCTGGTCCACTGCCTGCACCACATCATTTGTTTGAAAATTAAGAACTGGAACTCAGCTAACAAAGCTGCTGTTTAGATGAATGTGGCACAATTAGCTTTTCCATAGTTACTATATGGAAAATTCAGATGTTGATTCTATCAGAAGCCATGACTCTGAAGCTAGAGTATGGGGATTTCTATGCAGTACATAAGTGCCATTTTCTCACCATTAATTTCTGAACTTGAATTTTCATACTGGGAAGGCAAGTGGTATCACATACACACATACCACTGTGTCAGCCACATATTTTTTCAGCAACTTGGCATGTAAAAATACCTATATTCCTGTTTATTGATTATGGGATACGTCTCTGTAATAAAACTAAAACGACCTTTTGAGTCCATCCAGTATTCAAACCGCATCAGTTGGTCCTCTTGCACTTCCATGAAGACTGTCCTTCATCCTGCAGCTTTTTGAACTTTGGCCCAAGCAGGAACCACCAGCCAAATCCCAGAATGACACAGATGACAGATTCCACATAGTAACCATCCAGGGTGGTGACACAGGAACCACCAGCTTTTGTGCAGAGCTGAAAGGCAGAAGCAAAAGTGAAGTATTGTCTGGGAGATACTGAAACACAAGACTTGTTAGCAGGCATTGGATAGTTACAGTTTAATTGCTTTTTCAAGATTCTAACTAAATAAATCTTGCTCTTTTTCTTACAGAAATGATGTAAGGCTTTTGAGCTCACAGAGTGTGAAAAGCAACAAAGTTTTGTTATAAAACATTTGGGAGATGGAGATTATTGGCCAAAGGAGTAAATGCTACTAAAGAGGTGCAGTGATTATTCTTAATTTTGTTTGGGGAAAAGGAGGGAGAGGGGGGGGAAATCCTAATTTTTTTTAGAAATTACAGCCTTGCATGTCACACAGGGAACCCACAAACAGACAGCACAAAGCGAGCAGCCTGCAGTTATGTCTGAGGAAAACATGCCGGGGATGCTTTTTAATTGCAGAACTGAAAGACAAAAACTCATCTAGGGGGTAGATGTTTGGTAGACAACTATTGTTTATCTTTCAGTGCTGCTATGATCTCAAGATAAAGCAATCCTACAAACAGAGGTTTCTGCCAGCATGTGTGCAATTCTGAGATGCGTCAGAATCATATTAAGAGGAAGAAGGGAGTGGTGGTGGGGGAACGCTGCCAACTGGAAAGATGCAGAAAAACAATGGAGGAGTGAGCTGAAAGAGCAGGGCCTTGAGTGCAACAGATGCCAGGGCACAGGGGACCTAGTTAGTGGCAAGCTGAGATGCGTGCTGAAAAGGCACACTGCAGAAGCAGCTTCCCCTCTGCAACCACTAAGAACTGCAGCTCCACTTGTAGAAGTCAAATATGACTTTTTTGAACACTGTGTGTGTGCTTAGAGGACCTCACATCCCAGAGTCCTGTAAACACAGAAAGGTATTCAAGACTAAAATCTCAATTACAAGTAAGGAAAACCATGCAGTACACCTCCCCCCCCCTCCAACACTTCCACTCCTCCAGATAGTTGTATTAAAATTTGTCATTCGCCCACAAGGAGGCGAATGTGAAACCCAGCTTCCCAGCCAGCTGTGCATGCAGTTGTTTGACCCAAGCACAGCAGCACAATATGTTCTCTGTTCTCTTCCACAGGGCTTCCCAGAACTGGGAAGGCAGCCAGTCACATTGCTCAGCTTCACGTGGAAAGCAGAGATCAAAGACAGCAAAGTAACATAATGGTAGAAGGAATCGAGGTATGAAGCCAGGAAGCCTCCAGACAGACAGAACTAAAACCTGCCACGAAGCTGCAGTGACTAGGAGACAGACAGCCTGCCAAGCACAGAGTGCATACTTACACAGCTCCAGGCTGAGCAAAGTTTACTCAGCAGCTACAGCCTCCACATACTGGAGAGGATGCAGCACTGATCTACTGCTTCCACCATCAGCTTTTCTCTCCAATTAAGACAGAAAGGAACAACTACTCTGCAAGTGGAAATCTTTGGTGAAGATGTTAACTATGAAGAGTGCACAGATAAAAACAAGACCAAATTTACCAGACATGAAAATCAGTTCAGTTAGAGAGAATTTTTAAGTGTAAACTATGCACTGTACAGGCTTTCCAAGGTGAACAAAACATACTAAGAGAAGCAATTTTACCAAGAAATAGTTGAATAGAGACCTTCACAGCCTCCAGACTTACTTCTGCCTCAAGTGCATTTCCACAGGCCTGTTCCTGGGCTCCTGAACACTCTTTAACCGTGAGTGGATCAACAAGCCAGAGTGCAACAGTGGAAGGCCAGTTCCCTCCCAGGTTTGACACAGTATTGAGGAGCGTCATGTAGGTTCCTCCGATCAGTGGATCGCTGACTTTGGCATTAAAAGCCATTATTGCAACATACATGCTATACAGCGAGATCTACAGAAGGGATAAAAACCCACAGGACAGTAAGGTCTCCCCACTTACAGACAATGACAATAAAAGCCCTAACATAAGCACTGTTTTGAATGATTACTTGAAG